TTTTGACCTACCCTCTTTTCTTTGATACCCCGTTTCAGCCCCTTAGGGTTGGTTGCCAGGATTTGCCGTAGGCGTTTCGTTTTCTAGGAGTGAATCTTAAGATACCCTGAAAATTTGAAGTCTCTAGCACTTCTCCTTCTAGTGGAACAGACAGACAGACAGACAAACACGAGGTCGTTTGCATAAGCCCGCTGGATAGCTTTTTCAAAGCAGAAGGGCGGGCTAAAAAAGAGTGTTTAAAGTAACATTGCTGCATGTAGGTGTTATTTTCTATCAGGTACGTATATACTTGTAAGGTTTTAGCAATATAATTATTAATTCAGTAAATTGAAACTAGAACTCGGACATGCAGCGACAGCCGAGCAGGCGAGTCGATTCTAGGAACCCGTATGAGAAGTAAACGCTGAAACAGAACTGGCGGTCGTCTTTTTTACAAGACTCCTAGCAGAGGTCCAGAGGGCGTCCGGTAGACGACCAGAAGATGAAAGTAAGACAACCGGGCTCGCCCCGTTCGTCTCGTGGTGGTCCAGGTGTTGTCCCGGGGATGTCTCAAGCAGCACTATGTAGCTGTCTTCTCCTCGTCTTAAAAAGAGCCCGTTTTGAGACAACCGGAAGACGACCGTGATAAAACCATGAAAAATGTCACTGGTGCGGCAGGGAATCGAACGTAGTAACGAATGACTGAGAGTCTGTCGCTGTATCCACCTGGCCAGGGAGGACACAGAGCTCAAGCGGCTGACTAAAGCTGCCTTGGTATGAGTCTTGCACGGCACGCCCTTGTGCGTTTGTACATGGTTCATGTGTACATGGTGCATTTGAACATGACGTAAGCGAAGTTGGCCAACCAGTTGGCCAACCAACCCATCCAACCTTACACGGAATCGACTTTCGACGATTTTTTTTATATTTTTATATTTTTTCAGCGCAGATGAAGCCAAAATGAAATACACGCAGTCAGGCACTGTTCCTGGGTGTATCCCCCACACCCTCATGTCCCACAGACACGTCTTGGCATCAAAAAACACAACACCACAAACAGCATCCAAGGCGACTTTGGAGGCTGAGACCTTTTTTGTCTCGGGTACCCCGGGTACTCCGTAGGTTCTAATGTGTTCTTGGACAACCCGACAGTGCTGCCAACACACCGAAAGTCGAAATTTGAGCCCAGAAAAAAAGGTCTCAGGGCTCAAAGTCGGCCGAAAGCTTATCTCCGTCGTTATCTCGGTCGACTTTGGAGGCTGAGACCTTTTTTGTCTCGGGTGCCACGGGTACCCCGTCTGTTCGAAAGTGTTCTAGGGCAACCCGACAGGTCTGCCAACACACCGGAAGTCGAAATTTGAGCCGAGAAAAAAAGGTCTCAGGGCTCAAAGTCGGCCGAAAGCTTATCTCCGTCGTTATCTCGGCCGACTTGGGAGGCTGAGACCTTTTTTGTCTCGGGAACCCCGGGTACTCCGTAGGTCCTCATGCGTTCTTGGACAACTCGACAGTGCTGCCAACACACCGGAAGTCGAAATTTGAGCCCAGAAAAAAAGGTCTCAGGGCTCAAAGTCGGCCAAACGCTTGTCTCCGTCGTGATCTCGGCCGACTTTGGAGGCTGTGACCTTTTTTGTCTCGGGTACCCCGGGTACTCCGAAATTCCTAGTGGGTTCTTTAACAACCCGACAGTGCTGCCAACACATCGGAAGTCGAAATTTTAGCCCAGAAAAAAAGGTCTCAGGGCTCAAAGTCGGCCGAACGCTTATCTCCGTCGTTATCTCGGCCGACTTTGGAGGCTGAGACCTTTTTTGTCTGGGCTGCCACGGGTACCCCGTCTGTTCGAAAGTGTGCTAGTGCAACCCGACAGTGCTGCCAATACAGCAGAAGTCGAAATTTGAGCCCAGAAAAAAGGTCTTAGGGCCCAAAGTCGGCCGAAAGCTTATCTCCGTCGTTATCTCGGCCGACTTTGGAGGCTGAGACCTTCTTTGTCTCGGGTACCCCGGGAACTCCGTAGGTTCTAATGTGTTCTTGGACAACCCGACAGTGCTGCCAACACACCGGGAGTCAAAATTTGAGCCCAGAAAAAAAAGGTCTCAGGTCTCAAAGTCGGCCGGAAGCTTATCTCCGTCGTTATCTCGGCCGACTTTGGAGGCTGAGACCTTTTTTGTCTCGGGTGCCATGGGTACCCCGTCTGTTCAAAAGTGTTCTAGGGCAACCCGACAGGTCTGCCAACACACCGGAAGTCGAAATTTGAGTCCAGAAAAAAAGGTCTCAGGGCTCAAAGTCGGCCAAACGATAATCTCCCCCGTGATCTCGGCTGACTTTTGAGGCTAAGACCTTTTTTTGTCTCGGGTACCCCGGGTACTCCGTAGGTTCTAATGTGTTCTTGGACAACCTGACAGTGCTGCCAACACACAAGAAGTCGAAATTTGAGCCCAGAAAAAAAGGTCTCAGGGCTCAAAGTCGGCCAAACGCTTATCTCCACCGTGATCTCGGCCGACTTTGGAGGCTAAGACCTTTGTCTCGGGTACCCCGGGTACTCCGTAATTCCTAGTGTGTTCTTGGACAACCCGACAGTGCTGCCAACACACCAGAAGTCGAAATTTCAGCCCAGAAAAAAAGGTCTCAGGGCTCAAAGTTGGCCAAACGCTTATCTCCACCGTGATCTCGGCCGACTTTGGAGATTGAGACCTTTTTTGTCTCGGGTACCCCGGGTACTCCGTAATTCCTAATGTGTTCTTGGACAACCCGACAGTGCTGCCACCACACCGGAAGCCGAAATTTGAGCCCAGAAAAAAAGGTCTCAGGGCTCAAAGTCGGCCGAAAGCTTATCTCCGTCGTTATCTCGGCCGACCTTGGAGGCTGAGACCTTTTTTGTCTCAGGTGCCATGGGTACCCCGTCTATTCGAAAGTGTTCTAGGGCAACCTGACAGTGCTGCCAACACACCAGAAGTCGAAATTTGAGCCGAGAAAAAAAGGTCTCAGGGCTCAAAGTCGGCCGAAAGCTTATCTCCGTCGTTATCTCGGCCGACTTTGGAGGCTAAGACCTTTTTAGTCTCGGGTACCCCAGGTCCTCCGTAGGTCTTAATGTGTTCCTGGACAACCCGACGGTGCTGCCAACACACCGGAAGTCGAAATTTGAGCCCAGAAAAAAAGGTCTCAGGGCTCAAAGTCGGCCAAACGCTTGTCTCCTTCGTGTTCTCGGCCGACTTTGGAGGCTGAGACCTTTTTTGTCTCGGGTACCCCGGGTACTCTGAAATTCCTAGTGGGTTCTTGGACAACCCGACAGTGCTGCCAACACATCGGAAGTCGAAATTTCAGCCCAGAAAAAAAGGTCTCAGGGCTCAAAGTCGGCCAAACGCTTATCTCCACCGTTCGATAGGGAAAAAGTATGGGGAGGGAGCTCACACTGCACAGAAAAGACCGTGCTACCAATCTTGCTTCAGTCCGGCCTGCGGTGCAAATTCGGGGAGAAAAAGTCCAAGTTAACGGCGAGACTGTACTCCATCGTGTACCCTGTGTTGTTGCTGATGTGGACCTCGGTGACTGCTACGAGCTAGGGCCTGTACCCTCCTCCCTGTTCGATAAATCGGGCTTTATGCACAAGGGCACTAAATCCACTCTCGCACAAGTGTTGCAGTCCTCGGCTGTTCTCTCTGCCAACGCCAACCCCCTGTATGTTCTCGATGGAGGCCATCTCCTGCAGCGCGTGTCCTGGCCACGCCCAGCCACCTACGCAGAGGTCGCGGCTACGTACTCTTCCTTTGTCCAGCGTTTATACACGAGTAGGAGCACTGTTGTTTTCGACGGGTACGCGGGTGGGCCTAGTGTGAAGGACGTGGAACACATGCGGATGCGGCGGGGGGCGAAAAATATGTCCGCCGACATCAAAGTAGAGCCAAACCTTCCTGTAGTGACCACACAGGCTAAATTTTTGACTAATGGGAAGAACAAGAAGCAGCTCATCGCCCTTTTGTCACATGACCTCCGTGAGAAAGGAGTCACAGTGGTGAAGGCTCCCGGAGACGCTGATCGGCTGGTAGCAACCACTGCTATAGAACTCGCGAAAACAACTGGTGAAAATGTCGTTGATGTAGGGAACGACACAGATGTGCTTGCTCTCCTGATAGCTTTATCAGACGGTTCGGAGTCCCTATCCATGTTAATGCCGGGGAAAAAAAGCAAGGTGTACGACATTCCCACAATTCGGCTGTCTTTGGGAGACGCAGCTGACCTTCTTTTAGTTCTTCACGCGCTGACCGGGTGTGACAGCACATCAGCACCTTACAATAAGGGAAAAAAATATCCACTCCAGAAACTACAAGACAAAGAAGAGTTCCGAAGAATTATTTCAATTTTCAACAGCGAGGGAGCGTCGGCCGAGGAAATAGCGACTGCCGGAGAGGCCTTCCTTCTTTCTCTCTATGGCTCATCGGACCAATTTTTAGACGTTGCCCGTTTCTCTGCATAGGGTAAGGGGCCCAGTAGTCGACAGTTTAAGAGCAAGGCTTTTCAAAATTGCCTACAACGGAGCGTGGGTGTACGGTAGCGTCAAGGAAAAATTTCGGGGGTGTAGTGGAAGGATTAAACTTAATGCATCATGGGTCGAAAATGGAAATAAAAACATTTATGTACACAGAAATGTGTATCAAAAAACAATGTTCATTGGCCCAGAAGTCGACACCTTTAGCCCAGTAGTCGACACTGCCTGGCCCAGTAGTCGACACTCGGTCATTTTACCCGGATTGCCAAGTCTGACGGGTTCCTGCATCCTGGCTAGCCTTCCTCTGCCTCTCGGTCGCCTTTTTGGCCATCAGGGTGTCCTTCTCGTCCCTCTTTGCGAGGTGCTGTTCGGATTTTTCGGCCTTCAGACGACCTTTTTTGAAATATGGTGAAAACAGATTTTTTCTGGTTCTTAAAAACGTCGTTTTTCGGCTACATATCGGAAAATATTTGTCTTAGCGCAATTAGTCTGAAATAAAACCGTTCCGTCACGTCAAAGCGCACCTTATGATGTATAGGACCACACGATGTGACATACGAAAACCGGGAGTGCTAGCCATGGCTTGGTTAGTAAACCTTATTTTGTCACCCAAAATGTCTTGTGGGGAAGCTGAAGATGTTGTCGCACAGCTTATCGACTCCTGAGTTATCTCCCTATATAAATTCCACACCGAACCGCATATAGCCGTTCCTGGGATTATGCCTACGGGGTCCCAGGGGGGCGAAAAGTGTCAATTTCCCTCAATGACCTAACATCGAACCCTTCGAGAGGGGTTGAAGGTCAGACAATGAGTCAGAATGGACTGTGCCGCAAGTCTTGGGATATCTTGAAGTACTTTATACCAGGTATACTTGTCCAATCCCAGGTTTTCACTCCACCCTAGTTGGCCAGCCGCCCGGACTGGCGCGACTGCGGCGGTGCCATTGGGGTTCCACCCCTCCCCCCTCCACCCTTGTGTCTGTTGACACTTTTCTCAGGCAACCAGGGCACATTCCCAGAGAAATGCTTTACACAAATGGGGCACTGAGCGCAAACTCTATCATGCGGCACAGTATTGACACCTGGTGCTTTACTGATGTCATTCATTATGATGTATTACGAACAAGAAAATAAAGGACACATGATCCCAACAACATTTCACGTTGACAAAGGGCCCTAGTTGTCGGAATTAGCCCGTCTGAAGGCAACACACACTCAAAATAAAGTGAGTGTCGACTACTGGAACAGATGTCTTCTTCTGGCCCAGTAGTCGACATCGCTATTATTTACGCCCCTGACCGAAATTTTCGACAACCTAAATGGGAAAAGATAATACATATCTTTGACAACAACACAAACGTCCTCCGGAACCGCTCGGGTGCATGGCAGCCTCACAGAACCTTCCGAGCGAACACCTGTCCACTACTCCGGAGCTAAGATATGGCTGGATGTGACGCGACGAGCAGTGTTCTGTGCGAAGCGCTACTAACCGGCTCCCGGAGGTGGCACAGAATCGGCAATGGGTTCCTTATGATCTCAATAGAGTGCGCTACAACCCGGCAAAACGCGCGAGATTCTAACGTTAACTAATTCGCGGGAAATCGATCGCCAAGTTGAAAGTGTCGACTACTGGTGTACTGTCGACTACTGGGCCCTGTACCCTAAGCGTTTGGCCAACTTTGAGCCCTGAGACCTTTTTTTCTGGGATCAAATATCGACTTCCGGTGTGTTGGCAGCACTATCGGGTTGTCCAAGAACACTTTTGGACCTACGGAGTACCCGGGGTACCCGAGACAAAAAAGGTCTCAGCCTCCAAATTCGGCCGAGATCACGGCGGAGATAAGCGTT